TACGAGACGAATCTTTTAACTCTAATTGCTCCATGATTTGACAATGTGGTGCTACAGTAAACATTTGCTAATGATGGATTAATTAGGCTTAATAAATTTATCTCGCGGTTTACTGACGGATTCTGTAATTAGTTTTTTTATTAATGCCCAAACACCCTATACAACACCCTATAAAATATCCGATGTGACACGCTAAAACTTTACGCCCCTTTATCTAAACACCCCCTAAATGGGATTTTAGACTCATGTGATGGGATGATTCTCCTATGCAGTATTCTCCTCTTACGGGGTTCACCGACATGTGGGCTCGTTGGTTGTGGGGCCCACATGCTAGCCCCTCAAAGTCAGAGAGCAATATTGCAAAGGATTTGTTTCCCTTCACTACTACAGAAATGCATTTCAGTGCCGGTTGGGAGACCCCCTTTGATGTCGGTTATCCCAACTGGCACTATGTTAGCGGCACTGATTAGGGAGCCGGCACCAATCCCATTTTGAAAACTGGCACCTTTGAGACCTCTGCGAACCCAAAAAAAAAAAAGGCTCGATGCATCGGCTCGAATCGAGCCGATGTTCCCCGTCACCCCTAGACCCGTCACCCCGAGACCATCAATCCAAAACAAAATCACAAGAAGTTTCACATTGTCACCATCGATGCATCCAAGCATATCCCTCAAAGCAAATCACAAAAGTTTCACGCAAATCACAGATGAAAGAATCACAAATCAATTCATCCAACACATATCTCTCAAAGCAAATCACATAAGTTTCACACAAATCACAGATAAAAGAATCACAAATCACATATCCCTCAACAATTTCATAGAAACAATCACCATTGCCGCTACGTCGCCGGATCCATTGCGGGAGCCGCCGCTCCGCCCGCCGATGCCGACGCTGGATGCAGCTTCGCCCGCCGTCACCACCCCGGCCACTGCCGAGGCCAGATCCATCATGGGGCCACCACCGCTTCGCCCGCCGATGCCGACCCTGGCCGCCGACACCGCCACCATTGCTTTGCCCGCCGTCGCCACCCTGGCCACCGCCGAGGCCGGATCCGTCGTGGGGCCGCCACTGCTCCGCCTGCCGTCGCCACCCCGGCCGCCTCACCCACTGCCGCATCCGCCGAGGGAGAAGCCACCGACGACGATGCCGTATGCAGGGAGAAGGAGGAGGGGGCAAGAGAGAGAAAAACTGAGAAAGAGAGATCGAGAAGCCACTAGTGACGCCCTTATCCTTATCTCGTCCTGGTGGGGCCCGCCGGCTCGGCTCGATTTGGGTATCGGTTTTTTAAAAAAACCGACACCTATAATATTTTATAGGTGTCGATTTAAAAAAAAGGCACAAAATATAATAGGTGTCGGTTTTTATTTGGAACCGACACCTATAATTGCTTAAAGGTGTCCATTTTTTACGATTTCAACCCGCGGAGGTGGGAAAAGGCCTATAGGTGCCAGTTTTAGCACTACCGGCACCTATAGTGGCGACACCTATTTGATGTTTTATGTTTTGTAGTAGTGCTTGTGATGAAATATATCATGTCAACTTGGTAATGCACACTAGCCATGTGCATGACAAATGGGCTATGCAATATTTTTCTTCTTTACGAGTATACCTTTTACACTGCCTTCATCGTGTTTCTCAATTTCTTCTCCCTAAGCAACGCAATTTCTTCTCCCTAAGCAACATCTCGTTTGGGAAATGCAACACTAAAAAGGCAGAAAGGTGCATCTTATCTTTCTTCTTGATCCACCCCCAAGAGGCCAAAACAACAAGATGCCTTGAGCCCTTATTGACATGCATGATGCATCTAGCTTAGAGGGAAAGAAAACATAATATGTTCATAACCAGAACAGAGTCTGCAGTTCTGGAGCAAGAGCAATTTGTTGATCATCACCAGCAGACATAGATGTGTCGTCAGCCATGTGAAACAAGCAACTGGAGCAAGAGCAATTTGTTGATCATCACCAGCAGCACCTGAAGGGTGAGAATTCACCAGGATTCAAGGATAATTATTTCAGCATCATGTTTGTGGCTAACATTTTATAATATAGGATGCAAACTTTTCTGCCCCATTGATATCAGCCAAAAATCGGACACAGATCATGAGTGTTATAGCATCAGAATGCTGCTTGTGAATGCCATTTTTTCAATGGTTGTGGTTGTCAAGTTGTCAACCATGACTGCTTCCAAGTTATCACCAAGCAAACATAAAGAAAATATGCATAAACTAGGTAATTGCTACTCAAGATATCTACAGTTTCCCGGTAAAAAGATAAAGTAAACATATTACCATATCGTAGAAAGGGTATAAGGTCCCATTCTGTGAGGTGCAAAAGGCCTTTTTGTGTGCGTTTTGATTAAGTTTAGCTACTAGTGCTCAAAGCCTCAACAACAAAATAAGTTGCTACAACATAAAGACATTTCCAAAAGTAGCAGGACCCATAACTGAATGAGGCAGCCACGTTATGCAAATTTGCAATGTCGAGCATTACTATAGTTTAGATACCCACTTCACTGTTATCTCCTTTCAAGAGATGGTGATGATTTCTATAAAAATTCTGCAAGAGGGACTGCAATTTAAAGAATGGTACATTTGAAACTACAGTTAGCAATCATTAAATTTCTGAAATGATTTACTACGTTTAAAGTTTAAACTGGTGGACACGAAACATTGTGTTGAGGCCAAAACAATAAAACAAGAATAAGGCGGAGAAAACATAAGTCGAGGTTAAAAGGAACATAAACGGATGAAACACATCAAAACTGATCAATGTGATATCATTCGGATTCTAGAATCAATGAAGCCAGACATCTGACTAGGGTTAACATTCTATCAGCACTAAGAAATCTGAAGAACAGCAATAATGCATGCCTATGACAAGTGAGAGATACAACTTACAGGTGATACCTTAACTTAACAGAAAAGAAATGGAAAGTGCCATGATATGGTCCCAAGCAAGTCAGAGATCATGCGCGTTATGAGACAATTATGGTGCTGATAGGTTGAAGATGTTTGAGGGTAGAACATAATAGTATCACTGATTGACTGTCCCACTGATGTTCATACTGCCTTTTTATATTAAATTGGTGCATACTTAGAGTTGTTTCCATCACTTGGTACATCAACAGAATTGCTTGCTTTGTGACTGAATGATGGCAGCAGTTATATGAATGATGCTTGAACTCCATTATGCATGATAGTATCAGTGACACATTAACAACTTGGAAAGAAAAGAATAAATGCCCTTCAAGGACAATAAACAATGGTGTAACATTAAACAGTAAAAGGTTACCTGAGTGACAATATTTTCTCTAGGAAGCATGTTCGATAACAAGCATTAACAGGAAGCAAGATGGAGAGAATTACAGATGAGGAGAAGAACTAGCACACCGATAACAAACCTAATTCTCAACCAATCAGAACCCAGATGTGAACTCGATGGATAGTAAGAACAGAAACAGCAACTTATTCACATGCCAATTGCACAACTATGACAGTAAATGGCTGTGCTATTAGCTATTTAATTTATATGAATTTATATAACATAGTTATATTCATGTGCCAATATCAACCTTAGCAGATGGAGGAGACATGATGTCAGTTTTTACTACTTTTTTAATCTATGATCACACACTCTACTCTTAAGTTCTTTCTGCTTATTCTCTATGAATTAAATCCTTGAAATCAGGCCAAAACACTTGCCCAGAAGTGGGGACAATACTTTTCTTTAATGGTAATTGATACTCCCTCCATCCACAAAAGTTACACCTATTACTTTTGTCACCAAGACTAAGAAGATATTAAATCATCTTGCATGTTACAAAATCAAGGAGTGAATGCAAGCATGCAACCAATGAGTATTTAGATGACTCCTTGGATTCTAATCAAACATTTAATTTATCTTTCATTTCAGTCTTGGATGCATAAAGACTACAAATATGAACAACTTGTTTGGAAAAACTCAAATGTGAAATATGCCTAACTTTTGTGGATGGAAGGAGTATCAATTATAATTGTGAAGTGAAATGTGGTGCATTAGAAAAGGAAGAGAATTTCCAGTTTCTGGGGAAAATCACCGAATATGTGGTTTTGGAGCTAAAACTATCAGGTACTCCAGTCAATTCACTTAATTGTATTGGTATGATTATAGAACTTCATCACTGAAAGTTATCTAACATACTTCCTACTGACAAATCTCACAGAATTTGATCTACCTAAGATTCTTCAGGCTCAAAGAATACTTTCAGAGAGGAGGCCAGAACACTATCACAGTATAGCAGCTATGAGCCATGAGAGCAGCCCAACCACTGGACATTGTTCCAAATGTTTTGCAAGATGCTTCTGCATTGAGCTTGTAGGGGAGCAACAATAAGCAAATATTTTGCAACCAAATTTGAAACTGCAACTAGTTTATGGTTAATCTATCGCGAAGACTGATCTTTGGTTGTTGCTATACAAAAGTAACTACGTATAAGACTCCTTGTTTTTTTTCAACGACATTGCTTGGCTTGTAATCAAATCTTGCCATCCACAACAAGTCTCCAAGAAGTTGACCATGCTAGAACTACTGCAAACTCGAGATTCCCAAAAACATTACGTTGTTTGAAATTCTGCAAGGTTTAAGAGTCCTCAGAAGGACTTTATCCTTCAAATAAAATGCTCATCAGATAATTGTCACATTGGAGCCTAAAGGCGAGATTTGCAGTTGAATTTATGGAGCAGGTTCGACACTCCATTAGAACTATAGTTAACTAACCCAAATTCTCAAATGTTGTTTTTATTTTATCATCTGATTTCTATTCAATTTCTGAAACAACTGTAAGCTGGACTTATTAACTATTCTTTTTGGAGTTTGTAGTCTCAGTGTTCTTAACTTGTACCTTGTACCAGTTCAATGCTTTGCATCAGAGATAAATCTATCTTTTAGAGGGTCATTTTCCAGCTAAAGAAATCGAACTATTTCAGACATTCTGGGACACTGAGAGTCATGAAACAAATAGAATCAAGTACTATTCAAGCCAAAACACTCTCATGGTTGCGTAACAGCTAACATTAAATAATTGACAACCATAACAATCAACATAATTGCCACAAAATTGTGAAAAGGCATGAGTTTCAACCTTGACCAAGGATCCAGCAACCTTGCAATACACATTTTATTATTTGTACAAGCATATCAAGGTCAAACCAGCAACATTCTGTAGAACAAAGCATGGTAGTACTAAAACACAAGGAATGGGGACATGGAGGCACCTTGGCAAACAACCTCATCATCACAACACATGGGCCATGGCAGCCTCACTTGGCGGTTGCTGCTCCAAGCTCCGCATCGATGGCTCTGCGCGCGGCGTCGAGGTCCTCGTCGAGGAAGATGTCCCAATGGCCGTCCCAGCGGATGAAGAACTCGGTGTCCTCGAAGTACTTGACGCGGTGCACGTCGCCGGCCGGCGTGAAGAGGAAGTCGCCGTCGACCAGGTCGTAGCTCTCCTTCTTGGTGAGGTTCCAGACCTTCTTCTTGCCGCTGATCACCACCAGGTCGTGGCCGAACGTGTGGTGGTGCGCCGGCTCCACGCTCCCGGCCTTGAACCGGACGTACGCCGACGTGGGGCTCTCCCGCACGATCCGCATCTCGCCGCCGGGCATGATCCCCACCGGCTCGAACTCCATCCCCTTCCTCAGGCAGCAGATGGCGCAGGCGGAGTCAGGGACGGAGGCGGAGGAGATGTCGGGGATGGCGGCCATCTCGGCGGGCGCGGAGTCGAAGAAGCGCTGGATGTCGTCGGGCCAGGGGGCGTCGCCGGAGGCCGGGCACGGGGCGCGGAACGGGGTGGCGAGCCAGGCGTCGGCGATGGCGGCGGCGGCGTCGGGCGGGGTGGCCAGGCCGGAGAGCGCGAGGACGTTGCAGGCGTTGATGGAGCGGGTGTTGGCGGCGTCGGCGGCGGTGGCGCAGTGAGTGGCGTAGACGCCGGGGTACTTGTTGGCGAAGATGGCGACGCCGGCGCCCGTGCCGCAGACCACGACGCCGCGGGCCTCGAGGGCGGGGTCGGAGGAGGAGGTGGGGGTGGCGATGACGCTGCGGGCGACGGCGGCGGCGGCGGCGTAGTACTTGTCGACGCCGAGGTCGACGACGTCGGCGACGGAAGGGTGGGCGCGGAGGTGCGCGACGACGGCGTCCTTGAGCGGCTGGCCGAAGGCGTCGGCGGCCGCGAAGATCTTGAAGCGGCGGTCTGCGGCGGCGGCGGCCATGGGGGATGGGGCGGTGGATGTCGCGGTTGCGGGGGGCGGCGGGGGCTGGATGGATCTGAGGGCGAGGCGAGGGGAGGGAGCAGAGCAGTGGCCACAAGTACGACAGCAGCAGTGAGTGAGTTGAGTGAAGTGAGAGAGGCGACCGCGGTGAGGAGGACGACCACGACCAGGGCGGCGGATTATACAGATATTTTATCTGTTCTTCTTTGGTTGCGTCGAGTGACACGTTGGTAAAGGCCTAAAGAGCCAAATTAAGTTATAAGGAAATAGGAGGATCATTTGTTTGGAGGTTGTAATTTTGATAACTTAGGTTTTACTACCTCTGTCCTAAAATAAGTGTAGCCGTGGTAATCCGTATCTAGCATTTGACCGTCCGTTTTATTTAAAAAATTTATGAATTTTTTTTAAAAAAAACTAGTCACACGTAAAGTATTATTAATATTTTATCATCTACTAACAATAAAAGTACTAATAATAATAAAAATTAAAATAAAACTTAGACATGAGCAGTACAAAACTGCACTTATTTTGGGACGGATAGAGTATTTAGCATAGCTCTGAATCTTAATCTATAATACTCCCTCCCGTAAAAAAATAAAACAATATGTCCAGGATTAGGTTGTTTTTGGATGGATGGAGTAGATTTGATGTTTGTATATTAAATTGATTTTATTGGAATGATTTTTACATGATTGTAGTTCTAAATCTAGGGATCCGATGTTCGGATGACGAGAAGAAATTTGGGATTACACCTTTAGATATGGATTTAACTCTAATACCACTTGCAAATGACATATAAAATGGCACCTCATCTCCACTATAATGTCATTTCTTGCCTTTGTATAAAATAAGAATGAATTTGCTTTTTCTTTTTTATCATGAGAATGAAACACCTTTGGTTGAGTTGATTCAACAGGTCAGGTCTTCTCACTCTTACAATATCCGTCACTAACCAATGGCATCAACCATCGTGCTCCACCTCCACCCACTCAAAATCCATTGTCACCATCCTCCCGGGGAAACCTAGCTTGATCCTACATATTCTCTAGACTACCTCCTTGATATTCTTTATTTGTCGTCTAACAGCTGTCAAATACTATAACTTTTGATAAGGGGGGTGTGTCGCTGATGCTTGCGCTCGGAACTCACATAACAATACATAGTCTTAGCCAAAACAAAACAGCCAAATACTTGGGTGCTAATTATACCACTCGAGCCATTGGTTTCGGCAACAATTTTCATTTCCCACTTCCTATTCTTAGCTATCACAATAAACAAATAGTGTATATATGGCAGCCGTATAGCTAGGGATGTTTCTATTGTACCTTGATACTCATACTACTTTATATTTTCATAGTTGAAATCAATTTTGATTATTAGCTGAGACTTATTTGACTTGGGCTCAATCCATTGCAAGAAATTACAGTGATCTCCACTTTCCCTTTGCCGTTGTGACTTGTTAGCATAGAGTTGGCCTAAATATATATCGTATTATCATGACACCAAATCATCATCCATCCAACTTATGAGAGGAAAGAGTATAGGGCCTATTCGGCTGCCAGCGCTTGTGTTGTGCGGCTGCAACTAGCTGCCGTGTAGCTAAAGAAAATACAAGCCGAATATATTGATCATCTTTTTGGTGAAGACTGGACTTAAAAACTTTTGACTTGTGATTATTATTTATTATTGTATTTAAAATTACAAAGCTCTAGAACATTGTAGAACTAATACGTTCTCTAATGTAACCTGAACGGAATCATTGGCTTAAGAAAATGACGATGCCAGTTGACGCTTGAGCCCAAAGTGAGCTCTCTTCCACAGCACAAAAGTGCACACCTCAGACGAGACTGGTGGTGGGGTCAGGTGGGTTACTCGTCGCCTTCAGCCCCTGGCATGTGGATCCGTACGTGAGGGTGGGCCCCACACGTCAGCGAGGCAGACAAAAGACAAGGGACGAAGTCAACGAATCCCATTTCTCGAGTCGTTGGCCGCCTCCTCGCCACGCCGCCCCTGCCCCGTCCACAGGCACAGCCCATACGATTTCCCTTCTGAATCCGCCTGATCGCCTCCTCCGCCACCGCCGTGTTCGATTCGTCTTCCCGCGGCGGCGGCGGCGGCGGCGGCGGCGAGGAAGATGGGGGTGGAGGTGCCGCCGGAGGAGTCCAACCGGTGCGTGCGCGGGTGCTGCCGGAGCGCCGCCATCCCGCTCCACCTCCCGCCCTCCTCCTTCTCCCTCCTCTCCCCCATCGCCAAAGGTAACTAAATCCTCTCTCTCTCTCTCTACGCTCTACTAGTTCTGACGAGGAAAATGGAATGTGCCGCGCGCAGGGTCGGAGAGCACGGTGTACGAGGCGCGGCTGGGCGGCGAGCGCGTCGCGGCCAAGAAGCCCGTGCTGTCCACCTCCGACGACCTCGACAAGTTCCACTACCAGCTGCAGCTGCTCTGGTGGGTACTCCCCATGTTTGTTCCGTTGCCTGTCGAGTTTCTCTCACTGTTGTCGTTTGGGTTGCTGATGCTCGAGATGGAAGTTAGCGCTCATAACCGATGGAATAGCTAGCATTTTATAGCTTGGCAGAGACTTGTGATCATAAATTTATCGGTGAGTCAGGATGACCACCTGACCAGTGCTTGTGTTCCATTATTGCTTGATCGTTAGGCGGTAATCTTTTGGTGCAAACAGAGTGTTAATTACGAACCCTTATGCAATAGTATATGGTAGCTTTAAGCTGTTGCAAATATTGATTGATTTCATGATGAAAAGCAGGGAGTTTAGTTTCTTGGATACTTGCTGACACTTGTAATTATGACATGTAACGCTTGTAAAACTTGCAAACTATCATTTCAGCTTTCAACTCTTGGCTTGAAAATGGTTGTTTATATCCTGAATAAGTGAAAACATACTTCTTCAAGAATTGCTCTTGACAGGTTCATTGAAATAAAATGGGTCTATGTCTGTGCAGTGAACTGGATCACCCAGGGTTGGCGAGACTGGTCGCAGCACATGCACGTCCTCCGAATTACTTGATGTTCTTTGATTTCTTTGAACCTCCAAACCTTGCGGACAAGATACATGTTGAGGAGTGGAACCCTTCTGTGCAGCAAGTGGTCACCATTGCCACTGATCTAGGTCCCAATTTATTGCAATCAAGTTTCCTTTTACTCTTTGAGAGATTGAATCGTGTCATGTGTATGTTTCTTTTCTATATTAGAATAAGACATAAAACATGGCTGCCTTCAAACCGGGAATGCTGTTGTTTTAGGACCCATCTTGATATGTTTGATTCAATCGTGAGTTGGCAGTTCCCCACTTGTTTCAAGCAATTAAGCAACTTTTTAACTCCTGTATCACTTCTGAGCTTGACGCGATGATTTCTTGTCATCGTATCATACGTATTCTGGACTCTATTAACATGTGAGTTCTGGCCTACATGAACATTTTCTATTTCTCAATATAACTTTAATATTATCTACTGCGTTTAGTGACTTCTTTTAGAAACTAGTGAGGGTGTAACTTGGTTATGTTCTTTTGTGCTAGCAATTTTAAGTAAGGTAATTAAGATCAGGATCCTACGCAGAATTGCTTTCATATGCTCTAGATCACTATTTTATATGGCTAGGATCAGGATTGCAATGGTCATGTAGTATTTTCAATGCAGATATATTCTGAAAACCCTTGTTCTTGATCTTAGAGTAAATAATGGCACGATAAATGTTTCCGACACATTTGCAGCATTTCTGTTGAAAATACCGAATTTTTCCCTATCATTTTTGTCCTTTCACATGTAGCGATTTTTGAACGATTTTTCATTTCCTTTTTATTAATATACCACTGTATTTCTCTGCTAACCTTTTGTGGTACGGTGCTTATTATGTAACCGAATGCACAAATGTAAAATTAATTCATGGATAGCTAATTTCCCCCCTGAATGTTAGGTGAAATAAAAACAAAAATATTCCTCCTGAAATATAGATAAGAGGATGATAGTAAGATCTTCTTAAAGTCCATGAACCAAGTATGAACAATTAGTTCTTACTAATTCAGAATGAGAAATATGTCATTGTGTTTAGTTTGTTATTCTAATTCGAAGTTTCTTGCTGGCTCTAACTTGAATTGAACATCTGTTGTTGATAAAGCGCAAATTAACATTTATTTTCAATGTATATTGCAGCAAAGGCTCTCCAATACCTAAACATCCTTGGCATAGTACACAGAGATATAAAGCCTGCAAACATTTTGGTAATTTTGTCTTCTATATTGAATGATTTAAGTTCTACACATAATGCATTTCTACATACATTAACAAAGTCTAATAATTGTGTACAGATAGATAAGGACTTCCATCCACATTTAGCAGATTTTGGCTTAGCCATGTACCAGAAGGACATCAAGCATGTTTCAGTTGAAAACTGGAGATCATCTGGCAAGCCTACTGGTGGTTTCCATAAAAAGAACATGGTTGGGACATTAATATACATGGCACCAGAAATTTTGAGAAAGGACATACATACAGAGAAATCAGATGTATATAGCTTTGCAATATCTATCAAGTAAGCCATTTCTCTCTTGGTATTAACTGCAGTTTGGCCTCATATACTTCAAATGTGTACTCCATTGCCTGAGAAAATACGTTTGTGTTTTCTTGGTGGTATGCATGACATATTGCCTCTGTTTCTGTTAAGTACCATATAACCAGTCCACGCACATATGTAGATGGTTGCTTGGAGGTAAATTGCCTTTTCTGTGTTGGAGGATTTGGTGTTTCCCATATAGACTTGCATTACATATACACTTCTGCTAGGTGATGTATTCTATTTTTTTTTGTGCGGGGAGATATATTCCATGTTGAACAAATGTTGGACATGGAAACCTACACGAATGTTCTCTCATATCTGTAACTAAGGGCCATGATCACAAAATGTGATATTCCTATCATTTTGTTCTCTGTTGTTGAATACTAGTTCATATAAATCACGTTTTATTTTGGTTGTGTGGCTTGCAGTGATATTAGCACTGTATTAAGATAAGCAACCAATCAACCAATTTTTATTGTGTTATGATCATGTCTTGTTAAGTCCTGCAAGAAAATATATACAAGTTTAACTTTTAAATTTTAATAAATGCTTTGACATGGTGACTGATTGACTATATCTAGCTGCATATCTAGTCGTGCAACCTGGTTTTGGTGACAACACAGTATACTCATCTGCATACACATGCTGCTTCTGTTGAACTGTGAACATTACGGATTTCACTTCCACTGATAATAACATGACTTTAAAAGGGACGAGGGACACATTTGGCTAAATTATACTAATTGTATACTTTGGCCAGCTGATGTGAAATGCTCATTTGAAACAAAGCTGCATGGTTCCAAATGTTACTTGCACACTCTGTCCCACTCTTTCTCAGGCTTTTTCTTACCCTGTGTACATAAAATAAATTCAAAACAAATGAAAATACTCAACTAGCTTAGGTTTTCATGTATTAACAGTTTCATTTTTTTTTCATCAATTTACAGTGAGCTACTTACGGGTGTGGTGCCTTATACAGACCTACGAGCAGAAGCACAGGTACGTATTTTTTGTTCTTTATCTTTGTCTCTTTCACATTTTCACTCCAACAGCACAGGTTGTTGTGTATGGTTTCTAAATTATATAACATCATTTTGTTAAAAATTCTAATTGGACATGCATCTAGCCATCCCCACACTTGAATACCATTTATTTCATGCTGCCCTAATGGAAAAGGTACATTAAGTGCTTTGACATTCTACCCCATTTAGAAATTTGGGTTGTTTGCTATAATCTTTAGTTCCTGTTGACTATTTCTGTTATATCCAAATACTTGAAATTATAGCATCATTTATCTTCATATATGATTGGTTGTACAATCATGCATGTGCGCCTCTAGCCCTGTATTAGCTTTAATTACGTATATAATGCCATTGCTGAAGCAAACATGTGAGATACACTATTTTCTACAATTGGGAACTCATTGATTTTTCTCTAGGCACACACCGTTCTTGAAATGACTTACACCGAACAACAACTTACAGCAGCAATTGTTTCTCAAGGATTGCGCCCAGCTCTTGCCCTTCCTGAGTCTGGTGCTCCACCTAGCCTCTTGTCACTTATCCAGCGATGCTGGGACTCTGATCCTCAACAGAGACCATCATTTAAAGATATAACTGAAGAGTTAAAAATAATTGAAAAGCATATAGCTGTAAATTCTTGCTCACTAGCATCTCCTGCAAACAAGAGTCAAAATGGCAACACAGAAGTTCACCACTATCAAGAAGCATTGAGCTGGTTGAACCAAGGGGAGTTGTTTGCAAAAGGAAACAAATTGGACAGTACAGTTGACCATTGGTCTGATATTTTCGATCAGTCCTCTAAGTACTGTCCAACATTAAGTTGGGGATCTTTTGCAACATGTGGTCGAAGAGAAACAATGGAAGATACCCATTTTATGCTTCCCCACATGAGCGAAGAAAAGGATCTGCATGCATTTGGCATTTTTGATGGTCACAGAGGTCTACAACTCAACAATTGACAATGTTCTTTACTAACTTTTGCATTACCATATCTTACACCACAATTTCTACAGGTTCAGCAGCTGCTGAGTTCTCAGTTCGAGCAGTCCCTGGTTTTCTCAAACAGTTTAATTCCAATACAAGGTATGGAATGAATGCAAACAATCTGATGACATTTTTCATGCCTGAAGTCTCAATCTGACTTCTGTTTTCTCGTAGCCCAACTGATGCCCTTACAGAAGCATTTGTAAGGACTGACATAGCATTTCGAGAGGAATTAATTCTTCACCAGAAGTCAAAAAGGATAACCCAGAAAAATTGGCATCCTGGTTGCACGGCAGTGACAGCACTGATAGTGAGAAACAAGCTTTTTGTAGCGAATGCTGGTGATTGCCGGGCAATTCTGAACCGTGCTGGTGAACCATTTCCTATGACCAGGGTCCGCATAATATTTCTTCTTTATTTTGCACGCTTCTTGAAATTTAAGCATTATAACATAAGATATGTTTTCATTCTGCCTTGGTAGGATCATGTTGCTAGTTGTCCAAAGGAAAGAGAACGGATTGTAAAGGAAGGAACTGAAGTCAAATGGCAAATAGATACATGGCGTGTTGGTGCAGCTGCTCTTCAGGTGCTAGCTTTTGCTCTTTATGGCATGTGCTCGCATGAGTATCATTCACTATGGTAGCCATGATTAGCTGTAGATGCATGATATAATCATTAATTTTGATAACAATAGAAAAAAAAAATGCTCACATAACATTATACGCCCTCTATCCATGAGTTTTTTTTCAGTTGGTTTTAGAACTGTTGAAGTGATATTATGCTGTTTCTGCAAATGGGGTTGTCAGCTACGTAAACAGCAAGCAATATTCCTTTCTGTACTATGAATAATACAATACGGAAATGCCTATTGGAACTCAGCCAAGGTATATGCTAGCACACAGTGTCCAAAGAAGGGCATGGATTTCAAGCTTACCTTGCTGAGGTCCAACCACAGATACATACGCTACTCTGCCCAAGATTCTACTTGGGTTAATTGGTTTGGGAATATTATTCGTTCTTATCCCCACCTCCCCCCCCCCAACACCCCCCACCACCCCCCCCCCCCAAAAAAAAAAAATCATTCTATGCTTTTGCACACTATGAACGATCCCTTGACACTTGCATCGGCGTAATTATACTATTTCTTGCAGAAATAAAAGGATAACCGTAAGGTCTGTAGTTTACACAAACGAGTGGTTATTTTTTGACAGGTCACACGGTCCATTGGCGATGATGATCTTAAGCCAGCAGTCACAGCACAACCTGAGGTTATAGAAACCATTTTATCACCTGATGATGAGTTCCTGGTATGTCCATTTTGTTTCTCTCATCTGTGCGGTTTCTTTCATTCTCATACATCAATTTGTTATATCTTAGAATACCAAAGCTAACACCAGTGTGGCATAAAAATTATTATGTCATTATTGTTCGATCGCTGTTAATCTGTTCAGTTGAATGATTGGCATCAGCTTCGGAAGTTTGGCTGTGAATGCTTGTCTTATTTCAGCCAAGCAATACCTTTATTTCTCCCTTGTAGAACACTGAGCAATTACTGCCACCAAAATATAGTAGTAAATCCAAGCCTATGTATGAAAATTCTTAAGTTCTGAGAAATAGACCAATGGCCCTTTTCTTTATTTTGCTTTCATATCTTATAATGATATCAGAGATCCAGTATTATTTACTTCTCCAAAATTTCTATTATCTGCATTGAATGGGCAAATTACTTTTTCTAATTATTTGTTAGGGAAGTAACTAAACTACGTTTCTTTGAGAAACCCCTCAACATGCCTGGCTCTGCTTGGCTGCAATGAAACTCTTTCAACGTTATTGGGCATTATGCTTCTAATATGTATATTTGTGTTGTTCCTAATTTAATGTAAACACCACCATTCAAAAAAGAGAGGTCATTGCAAAGTTTCGACTTCATACATAATACTCTAGAGATGAACCTCAAAACAGGGTATCTAGTTTTGGTGCTTCTGCGAACACCCAAGAGATGCACTGAAACATGGCATCAAAGATAAGAAACCTCATTATAGATTCACACCACTTCATTTGGTTACCTGTAGGTGATGGCAAGTGATGGATTGTGGGACGTGATGAGCAACGAGGATGTCCTGTCCATCATCAAGGACACAGTAAAAGAGCCTGGAATGTGCTCCAAGCGGCTGGCCACGGAGGCGGCAGCGCGTGGCAGCAAGGACAACATCACTGTCATCGTTGTGTTCCTTCGCCCCGTCTCCACTGCTGAGCGAATATACTAACCACAAAGCCTTGTTGGTAACTTCATCATTTGTCAGAATTTTTAGATACTATTATCACCACTGTAAAGGAAAGAAGCCACCGATTCGTTCTTGTACACAAATTGGATTTGCTGATTACCCTGTCTAGGGCAGAAAGATGATTAATCTTTCTGATAGGAGATATAGCATTCTTTCATTGGTCAATGTTTATGCAACTCTGATTCATCTCATTTGTGCACCTTCCAGGCCAAAAGAACAAAACATATTTATTCAATACTTATCTCAATAAAATTTTGTGGAATTGTCGATGGTCCAACTTTAAATGTTTCCACCATATTTATTCAATACTTATCTCAATAAAATTTTGTGAAATTGTCGATGGTCCAAGTTTAAATGTTTCCAGTTCCTCGTATCAACACCTGCTAGAAATCGTTGAATGATTCATACAGGTACCGAAATTTTGTTCGTCAAATACGGATAATCCGGAGGCAACCTGTCGTTGCCAAGCCGTGAGGCACGTGAAAAATAATTATTGGTCCCAAGTGCACTTATCTTAATAAATACAGTAACTGTCACGAGATATCTCATGCATTCATGCAAGGTCAAATAACCCGACTTAAAATATTTTTTTTCTATCATTGTCTTCACATTAATGTTGTGTACAAACCACAATCGTGGATTAAGTCTACGCAACAATGATGCTGTACACTTAAGGAACCTGGTACCTATATTCAAATATAAAAACTTGATCACATTACAGCGAAGCTGACCTGTTACCTGTACAACAAACGATCACTCCATCTCAAAAAAATAGAAAAAGATCACTTGCCTAGTTGTGCCGCTGTGTACGAATAGGAGAAATCATGAATCAGCTATCTTTCTTACAGAAACTTGAACTAAATCGGATAACCACGGCACTTGTTATATCTTCAGAAATTTCTGATAACCTCAATCTGGTGCCAAACAGAGATATCAACATCAGGTCAACTTTCTCCTCTGAATTCAAGCTTCCTGGTTGTAATTTCGTCCAATTAAGGCAATGTAACTGACATTTGGATGAAGAAAGCAACTGAATTGATCAAGGACCAGTTGCAATTTAATATTATCAACTGCTCTGTACTAGAAATCAGTAGATGGGTGACGTTTCTGTATTATTGTGTTCAACAAAACAAAACGTGCAAGCTGTACTGAGACACCAATAGCTTGCAAGAAAGCGATCCCAATGAAAGCTACTCCCTTGGAAAGCCAAGTTGAGACCACTTGAATTTTCTCACCAACCTTTGGCTAAATCAGGAGCCAGAAATTTAGAACAAATAGTAAGTGTTAATGCTAGCTTTCGGATTTAGCTAGATAAATTTCACCTCTTACAGCTCCAATTGTAGATTGTGACGATTTTTGTTTCTGATATACAAAGGTATCCAAGAACCAAGAAATGATGTGGCAGCTAGCAACAGAGCTGGAAAACTACTTTCAATATGGTATACCAAAATCTATTTGTACATTTCAAACCACAAAACAATTTTACAAAAGAACAGTAAACACCACCACCAACACAAAATCCAATATGTGATAACTGATAAGAGAACCGATGATTTTCCAAGAAACAAAGGCAGGCAAATTGCTTGCAGGACCTTGTTCCTTGGTGTGCTCATGTATGTGTGACTAGCAATGGGAGGCTGTCCTCTCTTGATCCTTTTCTGAAGTAGCCATAGAGCACCAATTGAATGACACCCAAAACGGTTCCAATCCCATTTGGAATCTGAAATTGACAATTCAACAAGATGAATGCACCGAACAGATATAATGCTAGACAGCCAACTAAGCAAAAGCAACAGCTAACTGGAATCTTACATATATGAAGAAATCATGCAGTAGAACTCCATATGCGAAGAACGATACGCTCATCAAGAACATAGAGAGTGACAAATAGAAGGGCATGTACTCCACGCTCTTCGTCCTGATCACCAGATTCTGTTGAAGACAAAAAATGCATAAAAGAAAAGGATCAATACACTGTTGCTAAGAATATTTCAAGAACATGAAAAGATTAGTCAAGGCTAACTGTATCAAAATGCACAATGTTTACTTGAAACTACAATTTATTGTGGATTATAAAAACTAAGAAGTGCAATTCATTAGAACTCACAATGATGGACAAGGGGGACGCAAACATGAATATGAGGGACGCAACGCTGAGGTAACCGACGAACAATTGCCGTGTTTGGTGATCAAACAACGCCAGACTAACATACACAATTAGAGCGAACACGCCGAACACCATAACCAGCAGGCTGGACACCTTCACCTGCAGCAACACACCATTTCGTTAGAGAACTTTTATGGTACAATATACTACTAGTATAATACTGTCAGTATAAATGATATAATTGTGTAGATTGATTTGATCTTATACTCAATTCAATTTCAATTGCAGTATAAAATTTGAAAGGGTAAATTTGTCTCCTTTTTTTTTCGTTATTCTATCGTCAAACAGTGTTGCCGCTAAGTGTGTCATCATCAAATGGCGCTCAGGACAGTCCTCCACTAATAAACGAGGAGATCTAGGACCGGGTACTTACAATTAGATTAAATCCGAACCACAAATTACTAAAACATCTTTTTCAATTTTCTATCAAATTCCTAACATATGCACTTCTTTACACTGCCAGTATATACTGATAATATAATTGTAATGGAAAAAAAAGAAGAAGTCAATGGTCAGAAGAGCATATGCTGGGAATCTGATGAAGGTGGCAGGTAAGGTAAGGTAAGTTAAGTTACCCTGTTCTTGGCGTCGGCGAATGCGATGAAGGTGGCGGTGTAGGCGAGCTGGAAGAGGGCGCCGATGGAGTTGACGGTGGCGACGAGGACGACGCCGTAGGAGACGAAGGGGAGGCCGTACCAGAGACAGATGAGGCAGTTGAGTAGCGAGTAAATGTACGGCATCGCCGAGAACTGCTCCGTCGATCCGTTCCGGACGATCCTCTTGAACGTCGGCCTGAAATCAAATCCAACAACAGCCATTCTCAGTTGTCGGCATTATTGCAGCGATCCGACCAATCCGGACCAAGAAATCAGAAGATCACAAGTGGGGGGAAATCAGAGAGGGGCCGGGGGCTTACAGCGGGGAGATGAAGAGCACAAGAGCGAAGATGTTCCCTGCAGTAATGGGTGACAGACAGCAAACATGAATCAAATAGGCACAATCAACTGCCAAGAACATCTGAAACCTCTCCCCAATCCAACCAAGATTACCAAGAAGCAAGAAAGGAAAGAGCATCGAAGCACCCCAAAAATGGGAAGAGAGAGATAGAGAGAATGGGAAGAAGACGAAGAAGAAGCAATGGTAGTACCTGCAATCCCAGCGCCATAGCAGCAGACGTCGTGGAAGGGGGAGCCGGTGCTGGTGGCCGCCACCGATAAACCGAGAGCGTTCATCATCAAAGGAAGCTAGAAACAAGAAAGCCGGCGGCGGCGGCGGCTCGGCGGTGGGAGGCTTTGGCCTTTGGGGGAGGGAGGAATCCGTAATCCGGGGTTTCTTTCTCTCTCTAGCTGTTTCTTTGGTTGCTGGTTTGGGCGGCTGGCTTGGCTGCCGTCGTACGTGTCCCGTCCGCAAGATATAACCATGCGGGGGTTCGGGGGATATGTCGCCGTGAACAGTGGCGGAGCCAGGATTTGAAAGTTGGGTATTCCCGTCTAACAAAAAAATTCATAGTAAAAAAAATCAATGGTTCACAGTATGTCAATACCGATAATCTAAGAAATAAAATTACAAATTATTACATGGTATCTCTAATTTTCTATTTCGGTTCCTTCGTGGCTTGGAAGAGTAGCTTTAATTCTGCGTTCCTTCATGGCTTGAAAGCGGTTTATAATATCACACTCCTTGACTTTCAAAAACATCTCACGCTCAATAAATGTGACCAAGCAATCATTCAAGTATTGATCCCCCATCCTGTTTCTCAATTTATTCTTCACATAATTCATGGCAGAAAATATTCTTTCAACACTAGCTGTTGCTACTGGAAGTACCAGAACCAATTTGAGAAGCTTGGAAATAATCTCATGTCTATTGTGCAATTTTGTTTCAACAATCATAATGGAAAGATTAGCAAGATTTTTTACTTTTCTAAACCTTTCATCTATACGCATCTCAGTGAGGAAGAGCTTCAATGCTGATGGAAGATGGTTCATCTCTGTGCTTGAGAAATCATTAGGATAAAACCGTGCAAGCTTAATCAACTTATCTTTGTCCCAACTAGCAAAGTTATCTATAGGACTAAATGCAGCCATACAAAGGAGCAAATCTGTGTTTACCTCATCAAACCGTTCATTAAGCTCTTGTAGTTGTCTATCAATGACACTTAGAAACATGTCAACATGGAAGCGATGCATATTCTTGATTTTAATAAAGAACCTCCTATCTCTTCCAACCGGCCGATAGAAAGAGTCCATATCAGGGATCTTGATCTTATGCTTCACACAAAAAGATTGCACTTCTTGAAGAAAATCATCCCATCCAGGATCCTCGCGTAATTGCTGCAATTGAAACTTTGTCAATAAAATCAGTCCTACTGCATTAACAATGTCTTGATCCCTCTTCTGCAAAGCATGATTCAAGTCAGATGTGAACCCAAGTACTGTTTGCATCAAGTGTGCCATAAAAACAAACTCAAATGATTGGAATATTGTCAACACTGTTTGTGCATTTGCACATTCTGCACCAAAAGAGCGATCCTTGCCAACCATTATAAGAACTTTTTGAATTGAAGGATACAAAGATAGGACATGCATAACAGTTTTATAGTGAGATCCCCAACGAGTATCTGCTGGCCTGCCCAAACCCATTTCTTGATTCAAACCCTTTCCAGTTTCAATGTCACCCAAATCTAGTTCTTCTACAATTCTTTGAGCTTGTGCAACTCTAAGCATTTCTGTCTTCTTACAAGAATTCCCAAGAAGATTTAACAAAAATCTAAGTTGCTCAAAGAACCACACACAATCTGGGTTTTCTTTAGCAACAGCCACAAGTGTTAATTGGAGTTGATGTGCAAAGCAATGGACATAATAGGCAGAAGGGCACTCATCCATAATCAATTTCTTTAGTCCATTAGCATGACCCTTCATGTTACTAGCACCGTCATAGCCTTGCCCACGGACCTTAGACAAGCTCAAGGAATGCTCCATAAGCAATGATTCAATTGCAGCTTTAAGTGTCAAGGAAGTAGTATTTTCAACATGAACAACACCAAGGAACCTCTCAACTACCCTTCCTTTTTTATCAACATATCTCAAACAAAGAGCCAACTGTTCTTTTTGGTACACATCACTAGATTCATCGGCAAGTATTGCAAAATATTCATCACCAAGGTCTTCCATGATAAGCTTAGTAGTTTCTTTGGCACAACAATTAGCTATCTGTTTTTGTATTTCGGGAGCAGTCAACTTACAATTCTTTGGAGCATTATTCAAAACCACCTTACCAACTTCTTCAAAGTTTTCTGCTAGCATACTCAACATCTCAAGGAAATTTCCTTTATTAAGTGACTTTTCACTTTCATAATGTCCACGGGCAGCCAAACCTTGCCTTAAAAGAAACTTCAAGCACTTCATTGAATAGGTTAAACGAGCCATATATCTAGCCTTGTCTTGTTCATTGGTGGCAGCAAAGCTCTCAACAATATTTGTTTTAGGTGCAAGGAAGTGATTGTATTTATCTTGTGCCACATTGTGAAAGCTAGTCATACCACCAACATGTTTTGCAATCCTTTTTCTCATGTGCCAATTCCTAAATCCCCTATTTACAAATGCATCTCCACCAGAATTATTAATTTTATGCTTGAATAAGTAACAAATAAAACAGAATGCAGCATCTTGTTCCACACTATATTCAAGCCATTTAAATTCGTCATACCAACTAGGAAGGAAGCGCCGAGGCTTACCTCCAATTTTCCTTATAGGAAAATTGTGGCTGCGTGGTTGGCATGGCCCTAATGCAATATATCCCCTTATCACAGAATTCCGTTCATTGACATCATAATTTTTGATTGCAATTCGCCTTCCAGGATCATGACAAAGTAAATCAATGTCATAAATAGCTTCATCACTTGAGTCATACTCTGTCTCTTCATCATCACCATCTCTGATGGGAGACCAATCTCTGATAGGAGACCAAGTGGAAGGTTGCTCCTGCTGTGTCACTGCTGTTGCTATGTCTGGATCATTGCTAGCTACCTCTGTTTCAGGTTCTGTCACATCTCTTGCTGCATCACTGGCTGCTACCTCAGGCACAACCTCAACTGCAGTAATCTGAATCTGAACTGGACTCTCATTTGCATCTGTAATCGGCTGAACAGAAGGAACAGCAACTTCACTGTCAATTCTAACTGGCTGTGTTGTTGATCCAGAACCAGAACCTAACCCTACCTTCCTAGACTTTGAATGTCTATCCCACAAAGTCTTCAAATCAATCGATTTCTTCTTCATTTTGAGAGTTCTTCAATCTACAGAACTACAAAAGTACAGGAAAAAGAAACTACTCAGAGACTAAGGTAAAAAAACATCAGACATGGACACATAGTGAGTGGATTTAGGACTGATTGAATCTTGAACTCTTGATTTGTCACCTGAAATTGCGCCTGCCGCAGTGCCGCTGGGCGCTGTCCCGCTGAGCTGCAGCTGTTGGCCGGCCGTCGCCGCGCCCCTGCCCCTCGGCCTCGTGGCCTCGCTCCCGCCGTCACCGGTCGCCCGTCGGTTGCCGTCTCGCGGCCTCGCCGCGCCGCCGCCGAATGCCTCGCCACGGCGTCGCGCCGCTGCCGAATGCCTCGCCGCGCCACCGCTGGTCTAGCTCCCTGCTCCCGTCGCCGGTCGCCGGACGCCTTGCCGCTTCCGCTGGTCGCCGCGCCGCCGTGCCGCCGCCGAACGCCGCCACCTAGGGTTTGGAATCAAATGGGGAATTGGGGAGCGGGCGAGCAGCGCATTTGCGCGTGAGGGTGAGGCGTGAGCCGAGCGAGGGACTCTGGAGGAGTGGGGACAACTAATATGTGTATATGTGTTATGTGTATATACTGAAGTATAGTTGTTTTTTGATAAAAAAAGTTGGGTATTCCTGGGAATACATAGGCATCACTGTAGCTCCGCCCCTGGCCGTGAAATCGTGGGGAGATTTTCTTTTTTGGTTTTTTGTCGAGGATAAATCCTCGCGTTTTTCTCTTTTAATTTCCCTCGTGTCATGTATAGTAGTACTCCACCAGGACGAACGATACGATAGTAGTAGTACGATTACGCGTATCCGGTCGGTCTCATCCGGAGAGCGGATGCGTGGGCGGCGCCCGGGATGAGAGTCCCGCGCACATGCGTACTGTACATGTAACTACGACTTGTTGTCTGTCTCCTGCTGCTACGTGGGTCTCGTCTCTCTCTCCCCCGTCTTGATGTGGATCTGCCAGCTACTTCTTCCGTGGTTTACTGCTTCCTCTTGTGCTACTTCTTCTCCTCCCTCGACCTTGTGCACTGGCGATTGGTGATGGAAGGCAAGAAACTATAGCGCGTGGTAAACCGTAAACACTCCATAAAATTCCTGTTTTATGGCACCATTCAGGCAATATTTATTCCTTTCATCCTAAAACACGGCTATTTAATATTGGCAAATTTTGTTACAGGACATCGCAATTGTGTGGTTTTAGCTCAGAGACACCGCGAAAGTGAAGACATCCCATGATCGTGGATATTTGCCGATAGACACCGCGCCGTCTGCCATGCTGACGTGTCGGACGGGAGGCCGTTTTTTTGACGCGGTCGGACGTAAATACCCCTGTGCAAGAGATAATAAGGTTACGTGGAGACCACTTGACAATGTCTCCCTCCTCTTCTTTTTCTTCTCTCTCGATTTCTTCTCCTCTCGATCTCTCCTCCTCATCTCTCTCCCTCTCGTTTCCCTTAATCCCCACGTGCGTGCGCGCCCGAGCGGGATGTGGCAGGCGCATGACGGCGCGGCCAGCGACCGGCCGCAGTGGCTCGGGCCGAGGCGACGGTGGCAGCCTGAAGGCGGCCCGGCGGCGTCGGGTGGATGGGGAGGCAGCGTGGCGGACGGCGACAGCGTCGGGCAACGCCGGCGGCGAACGAGCCGCCGAGCAAGGCCATGGGCCACGCCGCCGTGACGAAGGCGGACACGGGCGGCACGTCGCGGAGTGCGCGCCAGACGGTGCTGTTGCACTTGAAGCCTGAGCCGAAGCTGATCTGCCAGACGCGGTGGCCGCGGTAGACGCGCCCCTTGGCCTCGGCGTAGGCGAGCTTATATCAAAGCGAGCTGCTGCTGGTGTTAATTGCACATTAGGCTCAACATCCCGACCTCTCTCTTTGATTTCCTGCATCAATCAAGCTAAGCTTGGTTAATTAATTAACTCACAGATTATTGTATATCACTCATTATTGTTTGTTCTAGATCGATCACTTTTGTGCGTGCGGTTACCTCGATGGTGGAAGCAAGAGCAATGGCAGTAGGCGGCGGCGGCGTGAGCCAGATGCAGCCGTCGTCTTCGCTCCACCACTCGGCTACCGCCTGAGGCAGCAGCTCCACTTCCGCCGGCAGGCATTGGGTGGATGGGGAGAAAAGGCCGGCGCAGCGAGGAGGTGCCGGGGCAGCGCCGGGCAGAGGAGGCGGAGGTGGAGGCGTTGGGTGGTCGCGGAGGCGGCGCCCGTGCGGGCCGGCGCTCGCAGTGTGGTTGTGGTCTCGAGCAAGACGAAGACGGCGGTGGTCGCGGTGGCGATTCGTTCGGCGGAGATGGAGGCCGGAGGTGCTGACAGTCGTGGTGGCGAAGTGGCAGTGGCGCGGGGGTGGTGCTCGCGCGGGAGATGTGGCCGCGCGTGGTGGCAGCGGCCGAGCGGACGGCTTGGCGCGGCGGCGGAGAGGGGAAAGTGGTAGCTGGCCGCGGTGGGGAGTGGCCTGACGGGAGGCCTTTTTTTTCTGACGTGGCACAAGGGTATTTACGTCCGACCACGTCAAAAAAACAGACTCCCGTCCGCCACGTCAGCACGACAAGTATCCTTTAGACGGCGCGGTGTTCATCGGCAAATATCCACGATTATAGGATGTCTTCCGCCAAAACTTTACTTTCGCGGTGTCCTTGAGCTAAAACCACATGATTGCGATGTCCCGTAGCAAAATTTGCCTTTAATATTAGGCTGAGTTCTTTTTCCAACTTTTTTTAACTCATCTTACTCATGTTCCGTGTGCACGCTTTTCAAACTAGTAAATAATGTGTTTTTTATAAAAAGTTTCTATACAAAAGTTGCTTAAAAAATTATATTAATCAATTTTTTTAAACAAATAACTAATACTTAATTAATCACTCGCTAATAGACCATTACGTTTTTCGTGCACTACAAATGTGTTTCCAACCAGTGGCGGATCCAGAAAATCGATTCGTTGGTGTCATAACGTGTCTATCGGTGTCATAGCATGCTAATTATGTTTATATCATAGTGTTATAACATATGGATAAGTAATTTCATTATAGATTTTGCTGAAAGTCGTCGGTGTCGCCTGACAGCGGCCATTCTACTGTAGATCTGCCCCTGTTTCCTAACCTGGGAAACGAACACAACCTTAGGCATAATGTGTATTACTACTACGAAAAGGAGTTTGGACAAAAACTCTTATGAAAAAAAATGAACATATTCGACTACTTGATACAGTCATAGAGCAGTATAGTCAGGAAATTCATTGTTATTAAATACATAAGTCATTCTACATATTAATTAGCTGCATTGAAAAAAAGTAGGAAAAAGTACACGCAAGGTCCCTCAACTTGTTAGTGCCACGCCCCGAACTAGTCCCGACCGGAACTAGCCCGTGACGCTCCAAATTAACCTGTTAATCGATACCAGTCCCAGGAAACAGTGCTGGTATCACAGGAAGACAGAGTATCACAGCAACAGAGGTCTCTTTATTATAGAGTAGGAGTACAGTCATGTTGGGCTGCGGACAGATCCCGAGCTCACAACTGCATTACAAAAGGGAAGCGGAAGCCAAGACTTGGACCAAACATCACAGGCGCGACTTGGGAACTAGGCCGAAACCCTAAAACTCATCGTAGCCGGCTTGCTCCTGGAAGAACTCCTCGTCAGCGGGATCCGCTTCATCTTCTTTAGCAACTGGGGGGGAATTATTTATATAGAGCAAGGGTGAGTACAGGAGTACTCAGCAAGCCATGGAAAATAAGTGTTTAATGCAGACTTCAAGGAAAGGCTGTTGTTTTTGCAATTGATTTTATTTAAACTCTTTTCTGAAACAACTAAGTGAGTGCTTCTCAAACGACACGGATGAGACAATGCGTCTCGTTCGGTCGGAGTATGTGCAATGTATCAGTCTTTTGAATCGATCTAGGTTGGCACCCGGCCAACAACTTTCAAACGGCCACCCGGGCCTGGCTGATCCCATCAGCCGCAGATTTTCCAAACATCAATCCCAAACCACATCCGCAAATTTCACAAAGCAGTAGTCAAACAAAACTGCGCTAGGAATCACCTCACATCCGCCCATGACCGTGGGCACGGCTGTTCGAACAGTTTAATAACCTCTGCAGAGGGGGTACACTTTACCCAGACGACATTACTAACCCGGATCATCCAGCCCGTGCAGAACGGCCACGACTAGAGACCTTAAGGCTTTCATGACAAGGCATTTCGAAAGCCGACACAGGTTCACCATATGCCAACGAGAGGGGTCCCAGACCAACACCAGATTAGGTCCCAGACCATACTGTGCCAGGAAGCCCAGGGGTCCTCCCCGACACCACCCCGGCGAATCCACATGTCTCTTAGCATCATGGCTCCCCCGATAAGCTAGTTACTCAGCCAGGGGTGTCCCATTCCACCCATGTGGTCGTACTTGTCTTATGTTCGGATAAAATTTCAAGGAAACGGTCCTTAAGTGCAAGAGCGGGAAACCGTACACCCGGTACGTTCCCTGGTCCGCGGTTTTGGAGATTCATTTAGTTCGCAAGCACCAACCCAGGTGTCGGGTTTTCCAAGTCTTTTGTAAAACCCAAGTTTTACCCAAGATGTTTCTCAGATTTTAAGTTTGAAGGCGACCATCGATACCCGTGCAGAGTGCACGAATACCGAGGCGCAACTAGGTGGGTACAAGGGAACATGGTATAACAATTACAAAGGAAGGATCAGATGCAACAAGTTAGGTGGGTCCGCCAATCTGCCTTGCAGACGGGACAAGCAGATTAAGTGCGATCCTATCGATGCATAATATTTTTCAAGCAACATAATTAAGTTCAAATATAGGCTCAAGATGTTCAAAGGTGGCTTGCCTCGCTCGAGATCTTGAGCTTGATCTTCGAAATCCTCGCACTGCGGGTCTTCGGGCTCCGAAACTACACGCGAAACGGGACAACTCAGCAAACGGCGAAAATAAAGCCTTATTATTGACCTCTAAGCATGCCATTAGATAGATCTCGAGATTTGAGGAATTTTGGAAGTTGAACGGAGTCAAACGGACTTACGGTTGGGAAGATATTGAATTTCTAAGATTATTGGATTTTTGGTCAAAAGGAAAAGGATTTATTTAAATCCTTTTTGAAAAAGAAAAGAAAAGAAAAGAAGGAGGGAGGGAAATTAGACTTCCCTCGGGCGGCTAGGGCGCGGCCCGAGAGAATGGGGCGGCTCGGCGAGAAGTGGCAGCGAGGGCGGAGGGCGCTCGGCTCGGCGCGGCTCACGCGCACGCGTGCGCAGCTCACGGGCAGAGCGGGGGGAGAGGGAGAGAGAGAGGGAGAGAGAGAGAGAGAGCCGGGGAGGGAGGGGGAGATGGGCCGAGAGGAGTTCGGCCTATCGAACCCAAGGGAGGCAAAATAGACTTTTGCGGAGGGATTTGATTTGGGAAGGATTTGGATTCGGGATTGAACTCGATGATAGATCGGGGATTTGAGATCTGAGATGGCACGGACACTAGACAACAAGCAAAGAAACGGATTTCGCAAATAGGGTTTTTAAGAGATAGTTTTTCCCGCTAGGCGCCACGACAGAACGGGCGCTACAGACCACCCCCCCTAACAAGAATCTCGACCCCGAGATTCAGCACCTATGGGAGTAGCTCCGGGAACTCGGTGCAGAGAAGATCTTCTCGTTCCCAGGTTGCCTCATCTTCAGAATGATTGCTCCATTGGACCTTGTAGAACTTGATAGTCTTCCTTCGGGTCTGACGTTCTGCCTCTTCAAGAACCTTGATCGGCCTTTCCTTGTAGGTCAGATTCTTTTCCAGCTCGATATTACCCAGGGGAACTTGTTCTTCTGGAACTCGAAGACATTTCTTTAACTGGGATACGTGGAACACGTTGTGCACATCTGCGAGACCTTCAGGTAACTCAAGCTGATAAGCCACTTCGCCACGTCTGGCGGTTATGAGGTAGGGGCCGATGTAGCGGGGTGCTAACTTGCCGGACATCCCAAACCTCCTCATACCACGGAGAGGTGATACCCGCAGGTACACATGATCTCCTTTTTCGAACTCAAGGTCACGCCTCCGATTGTCAGCGTAATTCTTCTGACGGTTCTGCGCTGTCTTTAAACGTTCTCGGATCAGCTTAACTTGTTCTTCTGCTGCCTTGAGCATGTCAGGACCGAATACCAGCGCTTCGCCCACCTCAGTCCAGCACAAGGGAGTGCGGCACTTTCTACCGAACATTGCCTCATTCGGCGACACCTGAATGCTGGCCTGATAACTGTTGTTGTATGAGAACTCAGCATACGGCAAACAACGATCCCAAGTGCCTTCGAAATCCAGGGCACACGCACGTAGCATGTCTTCTAGGATTTGGTTTACCCTTTCTGTCTGACCATCGGTCTGCGGATGGTAAGCTGTACTAAAATTTAGATCGGTTCCGAGAGCTTCATGCAACTGCTTCTAGAACCTTGAGGTGAACTGAGTGCCTCGGTCTGACACAATCTTCTTGGGACAGCCAAATCTACATACGACATGGGTCATGTAGAGTTCTGCTAGTTTCTTTCCATCAAAGGTGGTTTTCACTGGCACGAAATGAGCTGATTTCGTGAGTCGATCCACGATTACCCAGATGGAGTCGTACCCGCTAGGATTAAATTTTTTATAGCCCGTTCAATAGGATTAAATTCTTCTAGTCTTTAATAGGATTATCTTAATTTGTATTAAATTCTTGCTTTAACACGTCGATCATATTTTGTTGAAAATCATCATATTTCCATCTTTTTATATTATGTGTTTTCTATGTAAGTCTAATTATTTAAGATATCTAATCTCAAAAAAAATATTTAAGATATCTAATATTTTTAAAATACTGATTATTTAGTCTCATATTCAACTTAAACAAGCCATGATCCATGTCGAAACAAGATTTCGACAATAATAAAAGGGGGTGGCTATCAAGCTAGGAAAGTGGATGGGTTTGTAGACAAGGAATTTTATACAGGTTCAGGCCTTCTTATTCAAGAAGTAATACCCTACTCCTGTCCGGGGATGATTCCGCCGAGTGTGTTATTGATTGTATGATTGGGAGAAAAAAGAATCGTGCCCCAAGAGGCACACGTACCCTCCTTATATAGGGGAAGGGATCCGTAATACAAGGT